GCCCAGTTCTCATAGCAGACATTCTGGTCATTGACCCAGAACCACAGATCAAGAGCACAGCTGTAGCGCAGTCCCAGCCAGATGTGGGATGTGTTGGCATTCTTGGCTTTCTGTTGCACCAGTTTCTGCTGTTCAAGGCTTGTGATGGAGACCAGGTCACGATGGAGCTCTCTGCAGTAATTTACAGCCTCGTCCCAGTTTTTGCTTTCATTGATCAGGATCAACTTTTCTGCAAACAAACACATGTTCAGTTCAAATTAAATGAAATCAGGTTGCAAGATTTTCCACCTCAAATACAAACAAATATGAGGAGCAAATAAAAGAAAAAACAAACAACAAAACAAGTCACAGATTTCATAAAAATAAGAGCTGGGCAGTTTGACATATTCTCACCATCATCATAGCAGAAGAAAGGTTTACTGGTGGTATAAGTAATAATAAGAGTTGGACATATTTTTTACTTTCCTGCTTTAAGTTTTTCCAATTTAGAATGTTTACTTTTCCTGATTTACTTTATTAAAGTCTTATTATTTAAATTTAAATGAGCCTTTTTTTAAAAAATAATTTAATTTTCTTTTATCAGGAGGATTTAGAAACAAGAATTATGTCTCATTACAGCTGTAAATCTAGAACCTATTAGAAACAGTAGCGATACCCACACTCAGAAACTATTATGACTCCTGTGACTCAGGTTCCTAATGAAAGGAGGCTGCATTATGTGTCTGGGGTGTAGCTCTATCTCCATAATCTCCTATCTCCATAATGCAAGCTGTTAAGCTTGCATTATTTAGCTTGATGATGAAACATATACCAGCCTCTTCGTGTACAGCTTTTCCATGAGACTAAGAAATATTAGTTTAGCTTTAACATTTATTCCTCAGTAAGAAAACTGAGAGAAACCAGATGTGAAAAATGAATCTTTGTAAATCTCACCATCATAGCAGAAGAAAGATTTTCTGGTGTCACAATCATCAGCTTTCCATTTTCCTTCTTTGTTTAATTCAGTCATCGCACATTTCCTGGTGCCGCTGTCAGTTTCAGACAGCTCCTCAGGTAACTCACCAACATCTCTCCAGTGTCTGTAAGAATAATTACTCCCATCTGACCACCTCCAGGTGTCTCTGAACAGGCCGATCCATGATCGTGGTTCATCAGAACTCTTAAATGTACGGACTGCTTCGTTTAACCGTTCTGCTCCACTGGCCAGGTCTGTGTGGTGCTCTCTGCAGTAGCTCTGAGCCTCACGCCA